TATCTACAATGTTACGTTATTTATATATAACAAATGTCAATACCGTAATTTAAATTTACTCTAAAGTTTTAAATAAATTTAGAAATAATACATGCAATTTTAAAAGAAGATATAAACTCATTTACATTCTACACTCTACACGAACTTGTTGATGGAGAGATGTTGCCACTAGTCTTTGCAATTTTACTAGGGAAGTCAGAGGACATTAATACAATATTCTCTGTACTATTGATTGAAGACTGCTAACACCCAACGTCAGATTCACCTGAACTCAACAACTTTCTTTATTGATAACGAAGCTGCTGTCTAGAATCCTGCCAGATCAGCCTTTCCAAGAATCACTATTAAAGGTTATTTTTACAATATTCCCAGTGTCTTTGCCGTAAAGCGCAGTTAACCGGACTCGTCACCACTATAAAGAAGAACAAGACTTCCATCAACTTATACGCAGGGCTCTTCCACTGGTACCACATGCAGAATAGAAGGTTTCTGGTTCCAAGCACTTAAAAACAGGAATTTTCGGACTCAACGGCAAATAACACTCCGTTTACGGACTACGTCGCAACATACTGGATTGAAAGCAACAAGCAGCTATGAAACTATTACCCAACTGAAGGACCAAGGACGACAAACCACCTCAAACAAAATTATACACGCTACTGAACTACCTTACAGAAGAGCAGTCAGTATGCTAACATTGCCTCTTATTTGCTACACTTCGACTAAATTTGTTGCAATTATATGATATGTTGTGATGTTTATGTTATGTATTATATTAAAAATAAGAAGATGTGGTATGATTGTCAATGAGACAGCTCTACAAGACCAAATTACACAGAATTTAACAACTTTGGGGCGCCATACGGTCTTCAACAACGAGCAAAGCAGATACCGCATAGTCAGCTTTAAAAGGCCCGATATAAAAAATGTAAAACAATTTAAACGAGAAAAACTAACGACTAACTTATGTACAAAATAATGAACGAAAAATAAATATGTTACACAGCAACAAACGATTATAACTGAATTGCAGGCTCCTGACTTGGGACAGGCACATACAGAATGTGGCGGGGTTAAACTTATTTGAAGGCGCCAAATCTTCCACTAACCTGGAACAGAATTGTTAGAATAAACTATAAAATCAGTTGAACTAATGTATTATACGTGCTTTATAGTTGTACCTTCTGCATTGTATGTGCTGGTGGACTTCGGCTGTTTTTCTGCTCTTTGGTCAATTCAAAAGACTTTGGTTAGACCCGCCTTGTGATCCAACTACGATCTACCGCACTCAGAGGCGAGCACGAGACCACCGATTCTTTTCCAATCATAAAAGAAGATATTAGTATCTATGCTGGTCTTTTTTAAGGACACGATATTTGACTAGTTCTTTTAAGCTAGTCAAGTAAATAATGAGGAATATTTATGTTAAGGTTCTATTCAATGATGATACGGATGGAATTTGTAAGTATGTGTATACCATCACATACTCTTACAAATGTAACATAAGGAGTAAGATGATGATGATGGATGGCTGCTTAACGTCCAGCGGCAAATTAATATGCATATTCAGGACGAGAAAATGTTAATGTAATATGAATATTAACCCTGCTTTGTACTAGACCGACACGCTGAGTTGGATTTTTAACGTGCTAGTTCACAAGGTAACAGTCCGCAGGAAGGCATGTCACCTTACCCGGACACATTATTCTGACTCCGAGCCGACCAGTCTTTGCTCTTACTCCTTTGTGCCGCGTGCTTAGCGGAGAAGTCTTTGGTTTGAGCCGACCGGGGTTCGAACCCACGACCTCCCGCACTCGAGGCGAACACGCTACCACGAGACTACCCAGGCGGTTTTTAGGAGTAAGAGCAGAGACTGGTTGGCCCAGAGTCAGAATAATGTTCAATGGTGTTTTTGTAAGCCTGCAGACTGTTACCATGCTACCTACATGTAGCATGAACAAAATACGGCCCATCGTGTCGGTCTAGTACAAAGCAGGATTTATATGCATATCACTGCAGCATGTTCTCCTCCTGAATATCCATTGATTTACCACTTGACGTTAAACATCCATCCACCTTTTAAGATTGGATGATAAAATACCTATTTTGACTATATTTTGTCTTTATTCATTTTTTTGCAGGGATGTCAACTTGGCGAACAATTACTAATCGAGTACTCGTTGGTTTTATCGAGCGATACTAGAGTACTAGCTCGGGAATATATCTACAACACGGAAACACAAAAAAACGTTTTTACATTCTGTGGTTTGTTGTTCAACGGACGAAAACCCATCTCCATAAGTATCTGGGACAAAGAATTACACACCATAATTAATATCTCATTAGCTACAAGTACTAAATAAGTAAAAAACAATAATCTAATCAATATAATTTAAAGTAAACCTATTTAAGAATTATAACAAGGAAAACCCATATCAAACAAGAGTATTTGGTAATCGTTAAGAAAACACATTTAATGTTTACAAAGGCGTAAGGATTAGAAGTTTAACTATTCACTGAGGGTCACCATTTATTTTATTTGGGAACATTTTCTTGTCAATTATTATTGGAGACCGTCGGTTTTGCATCTTTGTAAATTTCAGTCTTGCAGACGAAAACATTTGCTCTGACGGTGACGAAATGTCTAAGACATGTTTAGTTTATCGTTTTGGTATGCGATATTCGGTTCTACCGAGCGATATTGGCATACTTGATTACTCTTTGACATCCCTAGTTTTTTGCCATGATTTTTTCGGTCTCTTAGACTTCTGAATTTTGATATTCCATTTCGTATCTTCAAACTCTTTTTTTGCTTTGTAAATTTTACAAAATCAGTCAATAGACTATGACTGAGGGGATGTGTCCAAATAATCTCCATGGCAAAGTGAGGTGATATTACTAATAAAACTGCATACCAAATATCATTAGAAATTTACTAGGAAATTAGGTAACAGTTCATGCCATATAACAAATTAAACTTTAAAAATAGGTGGATGATACTGAAATGACAATCAGAATTCAAAAGTCGAAGAGAAACCAACAAAATAATTGCAAAAAAAAATTTACATAATCAAAGTGCTTGTGAGCACTGAAGGGTAAAGATTGCATTCATTTTGCAGCGGAAACATAAGATTAAACATTGCATTATATTAGGCATTGGAAGGCAATACTATGAATTAGAGATATAGCTATGTATAAAGGAAGATAACTCCAATTTTAAATATTGCTTTAACAATACTAGATTCATGCACCATGCAAAATTTATGTAATTTTCTTTGCACGTACACATCATTTTGGAACTTGAATATCTGAGCATATATCTCATTGATAAATTTCATAGGTAGGATTATAGAAAGTTGTGTTCAATGCACTAAGTTTTGTGTATATCAAAAGTAGTGTATGTAACAATATTTTAGATTTTAACGAGAGAAATTTATGTATTACTGAAAAATTATTACACCAGGGTTTTCGATATCACAAACTAGTCAAAACATTTACTAAATTTTATCATCGGTATAAGGACATCATTCGTAAATATAGCTCAACATGCAGACTTCTTATACGTTCAGGTATTTCACATCCAATTTTTTATGGAAATATTCTTTATAAAGCACAAAAATGTCAGTATTCACCTCTGAAGCTAACAAAACCTTTAAATAGACTTATTAAGAAGGGATATAGTTACGATACTGTTGTCAGGTCATTAAAGATTGCATATTTTGGCGTTAATATTGATTCACTTATAGGGTCTTTGCATCGGCACTAAACACATTTATTTAAAATCCAGTTGTTGATATGACACGGGTTATGTTCTTCTCATATATGTTATGATGGTATGATACTAAACCCCTAACGGGAAGGATTGTGCCTGATATTCATATGATGAAGACATTATCTTTCAATCAGTTTAATTGAAGTCTGGAGCTGGCATGTCAGTTAACTGCTAGTAGTCTGTTGTTATTTATGTATTATTGTCATTTTGTTTATTTTCTTTGGTTACATCTTCTGACATCAGACTCGGACTTCTCTTGAACTGAATTTTAATGTGCGTATTGTTATGCGTTTACTTTTCTACATTGGCTAGAAGTATAGGGGGAGGGTTGAGATCTCATAAACATGTTTAACCCCGCCGCATTTTTGCGCCTGTCCCAAGTCAGGATCCTCTAGCCTTTGTTAGTCTTGTATTATTTTTAATTTTAGTTTCTTGTGTACAATTTGGAGTTTAGTATGGCGTTCATTATCACTGAACTAGTATATATATTTGTTTAGGGGCCAGCTGAAGGACGCCTCCGGGTGCGGGAATTTCTCGCTGCATTGAAGACCTGTTGGTGACCTTCTGCTGTTGTCTGTTGTATGGTCGGGTTGTTGTCTCTTTGACACATTCCCCATTTCCAGCACTGATTGTAGTTGATTCAATTATAATCATGGACAAAGGAAGATAACTCCAATTTTAAAAATTACTTGATATTTAGAAGAAAATATAAAAAAATTTCCATTTATAAAGGGGCATAACTCTAAACGGTTAAAGTGATGCCACCAAAATTCAAACTTGATCTGTGTTTTGTGGTAATAAGCATTGTGTATAAGTTTCATAACATTTGTTTGAGGCAAACTCAAGTTAAAGAACAGAAACCAGTTTTGGGACGTACGTACGTACAGACGGACAAGGGTAAAACTTAATGCCCCCACCACTACAGCGGAGGCATAAAAACCTAGGGTGATCTCAGTTGCTCAGATAGGGTAAAAGATCCTGCTCCTCACATGGCAAGTATCTTTTGACTTTTAAAGTGATCACCACCACCCCCCTCCCCCCCTTTTTTCCTGTGCCATAAAGTTTTGTTCTACACCAACCTTACGTCAAAGTCCAGGTGTGTAGGAGACCATTTTTCAACCTTTTAAACAAGGGTTGATTTTGATGGCTATTACAATAAAGTCCTAAAGCTTTATTTTAAATAATTGATGTAAACAAGACAGTTAGATTTGAAAGAACAGAACAAAGATTACAAGTTTTTTCATCATTTATTTCCAGTAACCAAATTTTTTTTGACAAAATATAACAAACATATATTACTACAATCTTAGATGTAATATGAAGAAGTATACAATAAATTTTTAAATAATCCAAACAAACAAGTTTTTCTTCTTTTCATACTAAAAAAAACCCAGCTCTAATGGCCAAGAAAGTGATCAACCTCATCAAAAGCCTGGGATTTGATTCCAATTTCAAGTATTTTGAAATGATTTGGTGATTAATGAATGTTTGAATTTCTGCATTTTGAGCTATATTTCATTTTCTTATCTGACATCTTTATACATTTTCTCTGGAAACAGGTAGTTACATCATGAGACTACAAAGCTCAAAGACAAATTACTTGTAATATTAGTTGTGAATGTGGTATGATCATTACGGGTACATTTTTTTCTGTCATAGTTTCAGCATTTCTTATAATAAAAGGAACATTTCAGCTTTTGAAAACACAGAAAATATGGTTTATCAATTCTTTTTTAATGCAACGGAAACATCTTAAAGAAATTTAAACAAGGTCAATTTCAAATGTAAATTTTCTTAAAAACAACAATGATACAAAAATTCAAATTTCAAAACAAAAGAAGCCGAAGCACAAACAACAAGAACATTCTATCTAGGCAGGAATGTAATATACAGAAAGATGAGAATATTTATATTAAGATAAAAAAAAAATAACACTGCTATTTTCGATGGTTCTTTTCATGTACTATATTGCACAAAAATCTTTCATAATAACTATCATGGTTGAAAATTACAAATAATATCCTAACTCATATCATTGCATACATACAGAAAATATCAGTAATGTAATTTTTATCTTTAAAACAATTCATTAATGAGAAATACACTAAACAGTGGGGTATTTGCACTCTCTAACTTGATGACTTACTGAAAGAGTCTATGGACTGAAAATATGGCATGAGGATAAATGGAAACTGGTTGGTATAAATGTGTTGACATGCAAGTTTCATTTATACTAAAAAAATATTGTGATGTTGTTATGACAATTATTACTCTGTATAGTAAATGAATAATGATAAAAATTCAGACCTACAGGGGTATAATTCTAAACAAGAAATGTACACTACTGCTCTTCATTTAAATTTTCTACATCATTTGCATTCATACAGTGAAAAAAATTACAGCCTTCTGTTTTTATTGTCATTAATCAACTTTACAGTTTTGAAGCAACAACAGCCACACTACAGAGGTTCTATCAATTACATACAACTACTTTGTTTTTATTGGGGGATTAAGTTGACAATGTAGCTGTCTGTCATTATCTGATGTTTAACTTTAAATGGTTACCATTTCAGAGTTTAATTCAAAGTTCTCGAAAAGTGGTAGTCCAAAGGTTTTGACCACCATTTGACAAAAGACTGACAGAATTTTGGTACATGTATTGTGCAATAGAAATAATTATGAGGACCACCAGGTTTTCTGTAAGGACCAACAGGTAAAAAAGGATTTTGAGAACTCTACTAATGCATTCAAAAGCAATCACCAAAACATTAAGATTGATTAAAAAAAACATCTTTAACAGATGAAATTAAACCAATGACTTAATGTTATTTTATTTTTGGTACAAATTGCACACAATATTTTAATTAAATGACTAGAAAGCACCAAGGTTGTGAATGTCACAGTATGTAAAATGACTACTACTAGTGATGAAAGTTGAATATTAGATTCTATGAAAAAGTAATCTTATTGACCTTTAGCTTCACCTTAACTATCATATTGAGCAAAACATATTTGTCAACATTTACTTAACTTGTAATTCACATCTATTATTTAGGTTGAAATAGCTATGCTGTCCTTTAAAAAGAGTGAGCTAAATTGGTCTCTTTTTTGTTGCAAGCCTTTTCACAACATAACAAACAAGATCTGAATATAGTCCACCCAACCAATGCAAATACACATTTCATACTGTAAAATTGTTATCATAAAACTATATTTTGATTGTTTTGGTTTTGTCAAACTAGTAAATATTTGTTTTACAAGACTTGAAAAACTGAAAATGATATTGTTTGACACCAAATTGTTTTTATAAGCACTAAATTTGCTGACATGATTAATTTATGTCTGATGATCTTTTATCCAATGCCCATTTATACACCAACAGATCTATTCTCTATGCAGTAACACAAACAGTCCAAGACAGGCTAATATGGCATACTGTAAAATAAAAGAGAGAAAATCAATATCAACAGTCAAAGACAGGCTAATATGGCATACTGTGAAACAAGAGATACAACACTCTATTGTCTTATGCTGTTTTACTTCTTGTATCCAATGGAATATTAAGTCAAGGGTATACTGATATTACAATGTATACACCTGTATGATTACTATCACAAATTTTTCCAATTCTTATCATCTTAGAACTAAATTAAAAGGGGCCCTTTAAACAAATTGAATAATTAATTTTAGCACTATTTAAAATACCTTTGATGAAAGTGCAAATAAGCAACCAATTACATGTGAAAACTGCTCAAGCAAGTTTCTAGATCCACAAACATGACAAATTTTGTATGAAAAATGATTCATTGAAATTTTGTTTGTTTGTTGTAGATCTCTATTACATTTGACATTGATAGATATATGTGTAGTCTCTTTTATTCAATAACAGAAAGAGTGTTCTAATAATAAATCATTGTGTACTGTATGAAAATAGAAATCCTTACAAAAGCATTATAAGGAGTACTAACAGTTTTTTATTACCGATCAAGACACTATGTGACTTTGAGATCCAATTAACTAGCTGTATTTTTATATTGCATTTTAATCTTAGCACAGAACAACAATTATACAATTGCTCAGATTTACTTCCAATATTTTCCCTAGAGGGTATATATGCATAGTTAGGGCCACCTCCTTTAAAATATTGAAATCCCTTTTAACTTTTAATTAACCCAATTACTTCAAAACTATTGAACGCCATCCTTTCAGCCAATCCCCGATCATTCAAAAAATTTTTTTTAATTTTATTTCTTACCTTAAATTTAGGATAATCATTCATTAAAATAGTCACTATTCCAACATATGGTACAAATCTGAAACAAAAGGTACAGTGAATAAAAATATGCATTTAAAATATGAAAACGTATATATTTACTTACACCAAGATATCATTTAATGAAATTGGATACCCTGCATTTGTAATGCTTTTCAATAACATATGGTCAAATCTCTGAAAGACCACCCTCCTAAATTATTGAAAACTATCATTCTGCATTGACAATAACATCTTGGTGTAAATTGGATACACCCATTCGGGCTAATGCCCTCAAGGTGTATCTAATACTTACATGTAACATATACTTACAGGTACATTTATCAGCAAAAAGGTTCAGGTTTTGGCAATTAGATCAGAAAAAGAAAATATATTTCAGCATATCACATTGCCATACAAAAGCAGTGATCAGGTATCAATTTGATGACAGAAAAATAGATGCAATTAAGACTTCATTCCAAATCCTTTAACATTTGTTTAATACTATAAAACATTTTCTGAAAGTATTTAATACTGCATCTGGCAAATTAAAAGTTCCTTTTACGTATCAAATTAAAAGATCTGAGACTTCTGATTATCATACTTTATCCCTGTATCAACAGTCAGTTTCTTACCCTCTAGCTCTTCCTACAACATCTTTTTTCTCTAACCATAACTGTCCTGGAGCATATAATCCTCTGTCATCTACTGAATTATTATCTCCCTTTGTTAAAAATCTCACTGTTCCATCTTCTCTGCAAAAATACATGATTTCATGTCAATGGGTAATTGCATTGTTCCTTACCCCAAAAATGATAATAACCTCACATCATTGGTTGAACATCCATAGTTTAGGAACATTTCAAGGGCATACAGGGGTGGTAATGATGTCGCTAACGTAAAATGTAATTTTCTTGCACCAAACTGTGACATATCGAGAAAAGATGCTTTTTTAGACTGATTTTTATCATTCAGACTGATTTAACTTGAAAACAAGTTCATGGACCCCTCTTTTTGAAAATGTGAAAATGAAATATGATTAGATTATGTGTAAAGATTATTTGTGCCAATTTTTATGAACATTTCACCGATGATTTTTTTTTAAATAAGATAAATATAGATAAAAAATTGTCGTTTCTTGACTTAAATCATGAAAATGTAATAAATATTTATTATTTCCAAAGAATTGTTACAAAAATCCAAAGCACAATTATGTAGAAAAGATATTCCAAATGTTTTTCCAAAAATCAGTTTGCATTTATCTTTTAAACAAAAAAGTTAGATATATGTCTTTCCAAAGGATAGATATGTGCAAGAAACCAAAATTTCCAGTAAATGTCTAAAATGTCTACCCATTTATCTCTACAAGTAGTACATGAAGGTATATTTTTTATTACATATTTGAATTGACTAGGCGTAAAATAGGTGTAAAATAGCTTGTATGCAAACTTTCGTCAAATATTCACCATGGGATCAAAACGGTATCATATGCCCTTTAAACAACCACAAAGTTTTTCAAGTATTATAATTTTAATTTTTGTGTAAAAGCTGCGGAGGTCACCTGGAAGTATACTGGCCTCCAGTGCAAAAGTAGTGGGTTCAATCCCAGACCAAGTTAAATTGAAGACTAGAAATTGGTATTTGCTGCTTCTCAAGATCTGCTAAACACGATTGACATTTAGAGCAAAGAAAGAAACAAACAAATTCACTGTGAAAAACCGTCACCAAAAGAATTTTTTTCACAAGGGACCTTTTTTTTTTTAATTTGTTGGTGTACAGATGTTTTATGTGAAAGATTCCAATCATATGGTTGAAAAAGAAATAACTTAAAAGACACAAATATACTGTGGATTCACATATTTTCGTGGGTACCAATTTTCATGGATTAAGGAAAACTTATATATTCGTGGATATTTAATTTCGTGGTTTTGCCGAAGTCTGCATATAAGCCTATAGAAAATTTGTCATTCGTTAAACATTTAATTTTGTGGTTCACCTGTACCAACAAAATCCACAAAAACTGGTATCCAACCAATAATAATGAATCAACAGTACACAATGTATGTATAGAATTACTGTGTATTTATAGAATTACTGTGTATGTATAGAATTACCGTGTATGTATAGAATTACTGTGTATTTATTACAATATCATATTCGCTAGCCAAGGGTTACGATCCACTTCCCTCCTCTCCACCCTTCGCAGATTAAGCCAACATTTGTAATAACAATGTTGTGCCATCTATCGGTAGATTAAAGTCACGCCCATTCCGAATACATTATTCTTGACCAATGGTAGCACTTGAACTCTTCAAATTTGAGGTAAAAACACGGTAGCGTCTAGATTCTACACACTTGGTAAAGCAGGAAACGAAAATATACATTGACATTCATGCATTTGTGCAAGAAACATACACAGGAACTTCTATTAGTTGATTAAAAACATTCAAATTGTCACTAAATATAGTCGTATGTTTATGGATGTAAAGACTTGTTGCACAATAAGCACGTGGCAATTGTTTACATACACTTTCTACATTTACACGTGATCATGTTATAGGCGCTTTTTGATTGGATGCAGCAAGTTTTGACTGCAACCAATGAAAATCATTACCTTATGTCTCCGAAATTCTATCTCAATCTGCCAAGGGTGGAGAGGAGGTAAGTGGATCATAACCCTTGGCTAGCGAAGATGTTACAATATGTGCATTCTACTTTTGACTGTTTCAGTACTAATTTAACAACTGCAAATGTCATCAGATGAGTTTTAAATATGTTGTTAATTTTTTTTATATATATGTTTATATATTTACTTTTCATGAACTTTAAGCACTCTGTGTACAATAGGAATATCTCGGCCTTCTACTTTAAACACAACAATTTCTCCAACACGGATTGGTTCCTCTCTGTGATTAGTTAGGAACAACAGATCTCCTCTGTGAAATGCAGGTTCCATACTTCCACTGAAATACAAATGATTTATAAAAACATGATACTTTACCCAACTTATTTTGGGATTTATCCTAGATTGATAATTGTATTTAAAATGAACAAATGGTTTTACTTTCTGTTAATACTTTTATATTTTGGCTATGCACAATTTCATGCTTTTCTTAGACTGTTTATGAAGTCTTTACACTAAATCTGCTTGTGGTGTAAAGATTGGTCTTTTGCTCTGTGAAACAATTAATTTGATTAGCTTTCAGTACTCATAGCATGGTACTTTGTGTCTTTCCTCTTTTTCTAGTTGTTTTAGTGCTTGATGCCAATCTGATGAGTCAAGTCTTTTCTAATTGATTTTTACAGTTCATTCTTATCATGCTGAGCTGTTACACACTGTTCCATGTTAGGGAGCTCGAGGATTGACTTTAAAAGCTCACAAACATGATATTCCGCCACATTCTGACAGGAGCCTGAAACTAAGTGGTGTTGTTGTTTTTTTCTACATGGGATGGTTTCTGCTCATTGTTGAAAGCTGTACAGTCAATGACAGTGATGACATATACTGTAAATTTATAAATCATTGCAATGTTTTATTAATGCGAAAAATGTGACAGTATCAAGTTCGCAATAATAAAAAGTTTCTTATTATTTTTTTACAGCACTGAGTCGATACCTCTGCTGGTGGACTATCAGTCCCAGAGGGTATCATAAGCAGTCAGAGCTCTGACATAAACAAGTCAGAATAAAATGACTTCTTAAAGTCAGAAAGTGTTTTGAAATTCTGACCTGTACGCGTCAATTTTTGTTTTGCGTAGTTTTCACTCGAGTCCGTCAAACCAGAAGTTATTTTGAATTTGCCGCCGATCTACGACACATACGATCACGTGGTTTTTTGCAAGAGATCACGTGTTTGAGAGTCGTTGTTTTGGAAGTGTCTCGAACGAGAAGTCATTGAATATTATATTGATTATTTACGATTTTTAGTGAAAATCTAGGTCATTGTGGGCATTTTTAGAAAGGTAATTCATATTACCTCCGTATTTTCATGGGCATTTTTATATTTTTTGCCTATAAAGAAGTTCCTTGCAAGTGATTTTTTTGCTGTTTCATGAAGGCGCGCGACCTGTAAATACGGACGCGTGGTCTTTGAGATGACCTGGTGTTTGACAATTCTGACTTGTTCAGGTCAGAAAATGTTGTTATGATAATGAATTGTTATTTTCGGGAGATAACTCGTGTTGTCTTAAACAATATTAACATTATTAACCAGTCAGTGCAATTTAAAAAGTAAAATTATTGCTTCGAGCTGAACATCGTCACGTGATTTTTCTATTTTTAAACTCAATCACGAATTGATTTTAACCTTTCCGATTCGTTTCTCCCTATGAGAAAAACGATCATTGTGAATATTGATATGATGATAATGAAACGAAAATGGAAAAAATTTTAATAAAAGAAAAAGGAAGGGAGGGGTTTAACTAAAGATTTTTTTTTTATTTTTAAAGTTATAACTTAAGAACAATAAGTGATGCACACACCTGGTCTTCATTTATGATCATGGGACATGATAAAACAAATCAAATGAAATGTAGGGCAAGTCTCCAGGGATCACCCCTATCCCTGTCATTTCTCTATTCCTCTTTATAATGTCAAATTGATTTGAATGAAATATACCGGGCTAGTCTCCAGGTTTACCCCACCCCCTGCCATTTGCAAATGTTCTTATATTTTGTAAACGGTAGAGATCCCCATCCCTAAACCATATATATTCTTGTATGGGACAATTTAACAAATCAAATGATATGTTGGGGAGGTCCCTGGGGGTCACCCCTACCCCTCCTGTTTGAAAACTTGTAAACGGTCGAGATCCCCACCCCTAAACCATATATTTTCTTGAATAGGACAATAAAACAAATCAAATGAAATATAGGGGAAGTCCCTTGGGGTTACCCCCACCCCCTCCTGTGTTAAAATTTTTTAACGGTCGGGATCCCCACCCCTTAACCATATATATTCTTGTAAGGGTCAATAAGACAAATCAAATGAAATAAAGGTGAAGTCCCTGAGGGTCACCCCACCCCCTCATGTTTGAAAACTTGTAAACGGCCGAGATCCCCACCCCTAAACCATATACATTCTTGCACAGGACAATAAAAAAAATCAAATGAAATATAGGGGAAGTCCATTGGGGTCATCCCCATCCCCCTTTTTGAAATGTTCTGGATCACCACCCCTAAAGGTAAACCATATGATATTCCTGTTCGTCATTTCAAGAAGATTTGAATGACATGCAGGGTCAAACCCCAAACCCTAGGCGTCACTTATGCATATCACTTTACTAGACAAAACCAATTTGTACTGGAACTTGCCCAATGTCAGGCAACCATGGGAATGACGAATTATGGGAGCTTTGTTTGGGAGACTTCGTAACAGCATCCTGTTACAATTATTTCTTGTTTATTTTAATCTGCTGAGAGACCACCTTTACATATTATATTTTTCAGTGTTTGTGCAAACAGAATTGTCTATTCAGTATTATTTTCCTCTCACATGCATCACATCTTATTAATTACATGGATATAGGAAGATGTGATATGAGTGCCAATGAGACAACTCTCCATCCAAGTTACAATTTATAAAAGTAAACCATTATAGGTCAAGGTACGGCCTTCAACACGGAGCATTGGCTCACACCGAACAGCAAGCTATAAAGGGCCTCAAAAAATTACAAGTGTAAAACCATTCAAACGGAAAAACCAACGGTCTAATCTATATAAAAAAAAATTTTTGGCATATTTGTTTTCCTCTGAAATTACACATCTATAATTCTTACCCCAGATGCTTAGCCACATGAAGCATTTACCTCTTATTTAAGACATAGATAGTCTTTGTTTCTACAGAAGTGAGAAGAACATTGGAAGTCAGAATGTTCTGACTTATAAAAGTCTGAATGTTCTGACTTAATAAGGTCAGAAAGACCAAGAATAATCTGAAAATACTGACCTTTTTTAATGTTTAGAGTATTTTAGACTATGAATGCACTTGTCATGCTAGTACCATAAGAAACCCTGACAAGATTTTGTTCCCAAACAACAATTTTTAAAGATATTAAGAATAACAAGTGTACAATGGAACATAAATTACAAAGTTATAAGTATTGTGAAAAAAACTATTTAAAAAAAAAAATCAATTGTTATCTTTTAACTTTTACATGTATTTAAAAAACAGTGAAAATATTATGGATTATATGTATGGCTTCTTGAAGGACAACAAAGTCACCATATTTGGTCTGAATTTGTATGTTTTTTCTCCTCAAAATTTTTTTAACATTAATAATGTCAGCTTTTTTCTTAACTAATTTTAAACATTCTTAATTATAATTAAATTTCCCCAACATTTTGCTTACAAACTCTTTAATTTCTAAAGTCAAATTGAAAGTTGTCTTCACAGATTCAATGTGTCTGAAAATGTTATATTGAAAAAACAATACTTTTATATCCTCAAATAAAATGGGCATACCATGAGTTTAATGGTCATGCAGATATGCAATCCAGGATGTTAACAATCAGAGTTTAGATTACAGTCATATAGTAATAGGCAGAGTTTTTCTTATATAATCAATAACCAGAGTAAAGATAATTGATTAATAGAGGTTTAGTTTAATATAAGTAATAAACAAAGCTAATTAATACACTTGCAATCACATACATGTAGTTAAATTAGTAAATACAGAATATTCATACAAAATTCAGACAGAAATACTGTAATAGGTCAAGTCATTAGGGACGACATCAAAAGTTCAATGTAGGATAAAAAACTTAATTCACATCACATAGTTTTTTCACTGACCCACCTACCCCCCTCTTAACTTAATTTGGGAAAGATTGATTGACCAATATGGATTTATGTAAAATCGATTTTGGATAAACAAAACTTGCAGCAACTTTAACCCCACCCCCACCCCCAAACTATTTGATTTAAGTTTTTTTATCCTACATTGGTCTTTTGATGGCATCCCTTAGAATGTGCTGACTTTGTACATGAATTGTAGTGATAGTTATGGCACCCATACAACATGTAGGAATCAGTCAAAAGGAGAGAAAAATTCCCGAAATTTGTCACATAGTGACATTTGTGAGTCGGAATAACAAAATATAGACTCATTAATCTCTCCATCTTTTCAAAAATTATGAACCAGATTTTATGCATATCCATATAGTTTTTGACGGACTCTTTTAAGTCAGAACATGATTTGACCTGTTTGAGTCAATTTGCAGAACAAAATTTCCAATCAAAGCTATGTGTTCTTCCTCTTAGCCCCCTTCTGAATCTGCCACTGTTGAGTTTATTAATTGATTTTTCCATACATTATCATTAATATCAAATGGCAATGCCTGACTTAATAATTTCAATAAATTTAGTTTTTGACTGATTTTTTAAAGTCAGAACATGACTTGACCTGTTTAAGTCAATTTGCAGAACAAAATTTCCAATCAAAGCTAGGTGTACTTCCTTTAAGCCCTGCAATGCCCGGCTTAAATATTTCAATAAATTTATTTTAGTTTTGGACTGACTCTTTTAAGTCAGAACATGATTTGACCTGTTTAAAACAAAATACATTTAATATTGAATATACCAAATAAACTTTTTTATAGTCCTCATTATTGTGACTTATGGGGACTTTATTCTCTCTGTCTTTTATCTGGCTCACCCATACATTTTTAAATCAATATGACAATACTATACTTAAAAGTTGTAATAAGTTTAGTTTTGTTTGACTCTTTGAAGTCAGAACATGATTTGACCTGTTAAAGTCAGTTTACAGAACAAAATTTCCAATCAAAGCTAGGTGTACTTCCTTCTGAATCTGCCATTTTCAAGTTTATTATTTGATTATTTTTTAGAAACAATTAAGTCAAATGGTTATTTATTTTAGGGGATCTTACATATATTTCCTGTGTCTTTTATCTGACGTTCCCATACATTCATTAAATAACATATGGCAATGCCCAGCTTATATATTTCAATAAATTTATTTTAGTTTTGGACTGACTCTTTTAAGTCAGAACATGATTTGACCTGTTTAAAACAAAATACATTTAATATTGAATATACTAAATAAACTTTTTTATAGTCCTCATTATTGTGACTTATGGCGACCTTATTTCCTCTGTCTTTTATCTGGCTCACCTATATATTTTTAAATCAATATGACAATACTAGACTTAAAAGTTGTAATAAGTTAAGTTTTATTTGACTCTTTGAAGTCAGAACATGATTTGACCTGTTAAAGTCGGTTTACAGAACAAAATTTCAAATCAAAACTGGTCTTTTCCTCTAAGCCCCCCCCCCCCCCCTAATCTGAATCTGAATCTGCTACTGTTGAGTTAATTAATTGATAAGTTTGTTTAGAAACAATTCAGTCAAATGGTTTTTAAAATAATATTTTTTATAACCAAAATTTCCATATGTTAACTTAACAGAAAAAAAGTCATGAAAATGCAGAAATAGAATAAAATTTTAAGATAATTTGATGAAATTTGTAAACAAAATACATTTGAATATTAAATATACCAAATAAACTTTTTTATAGTCCTCATTATTGTGACTTTATTATTGGGTGTCTTTTATCTGATTTTCCCATACATTCTTAAATGCATATGACAATTCCAGACTTAAAAGTTACAATAATTAGTAAAAGTATAGTTTTTGACTGACTCTTTGAAGTCAGAACATAATGTGACTTGTTCAAGTCAGTTTGCACAACAGGATTTACCTCAATGAAATATTAAGATATCAAATATATACCAAATAAACTTTTATATAGTTCTAAAAATTGTGACTTAATATTTGTGATCTTTTTTCCTACTTGTATCCATACATTCTAACAATCACATCACAATCATGACAATGCCCGACTGTTACAGTTGCAATCCATTTAGTGTTTGACAGACTCTTATAAGTCAGAACATGATTTGACCTGCTTGAGTCAGTTTACAGAACAAAATTTCCAATCAAAGCTAGGTGTTCTTCCTCTAAGCCCCCCCTCCTAAATATGAATCTGCTACTGTTGAGTTAATTAATTGATAAGTTTTATTAGAAACAATTCAGCCAAATGGTTATTAAAATATTATTTTTTTTGGCAACCACAAGTTCTATGTGTAAACTTAACAGAAAAGAAAAGTCATGAAAATACAGAAATAAAATAAAATTTTAAGATAATTTGATGAAAATCTTTAAAAACAAAATGCATTTGATATTGAATATACCAAATAAACTTTTTTATAGTCCTCATTATTGTGACGTAAGGGGACCTTATTTCATCTAGCTTTTATCTGGCTTTCCCATACATTTTAAAATCAATATGAAAATCCTAGACTTAAAAGTTAAAATAAGTTTAGTTTTGTTTGACTCTTTGAAGTCAGAACATGATTTGACCTGTTAAAGTCAGTTTACAGAACAAAATTTCCAATCAAAACTAGGTCTTCTTCCTCTAAGCCCCCCCCCCTTTTTTCCCCTTTATCTGAATCTGCTACTGTTGAGTTAATTAATCATGTTAATTGATAAGTTTTTTGAGAAACAATTCAGTCAAATGGTCTTTAAAATAATATTTTTTACAACCAAAAGTTCCATGTGTTAACTTAACAGAAAAGAAAAAGTCATGAAAATACAGAAATAGAATAAAATTTTAAGATAATTTGATGAAACTTGTAAACAAAATACATTTGAATATTACATATACCAAACAAACTTTTTTATAGTCCTCATTATTGTGACTTTATTATTGGGTGTCTTTTATCTGTTTTTCCCATACATTCTTAAATGCATATGACAATGCCAGACTTGGAAGTTGCAATAATTAGTTAAAGTATAGTTTTTGACTGACTCTTTGAAGTCAGAACATAATTAGACCTGTTTAAAACAAAATACATTTAAATATTGAATATACCAAATAAACTTTTTTATATAATCCTCATTATTGTGACTTTAGGGGACCTTATTTCCTCTGTTTTTTATCTGGCTCTCCCATACATTTTTAAATCAATATGACAATACTAGACTTAAAAGTTGTAATAAGTTTAGTTTTGACTGACTCTTTGAGGTCAGAACATGATTTGACCTGTTAAAGTCAGTTTACAGAACAAAATTTCCAATCAAAGCTAGGTGTACTTCCTTTATTCCAAGAAAGTCCTTGCTTTCAGACTGCTTCTGAATATGCCATTTTCGAGTTTATTATTTGAAAATATTTTAGAAACAATTAAGTCAAATGGTTATTTATTTTAGGGGATCTTAACATATATTTCCTGTGTCTTTTATCTGACGTTCCCATACATTCATTTAATATCATATGGCAATGCCCGGCTTAAATATTTCAATAAATTTATTTTAGTTTTGGACTGACTCTTTTAAGTCAGAACATGATTTGACCTGTTTAAAACAAAATACATTTAATATTGAATATACCAAATAAACTTTTTTATAGTCCTCATTATTGTGACTTATGGGGACCTAATTTCCTCAGTCTTTTATCTGGCTCTCCCATACATTTTTAAATCAATATGACAATACTAGACTTAAAAGTTGTAATACGTTTAGTAAGTAAGAACATAATGTGACTTGTTTGAGTCAGTTTGCACAACAGTATTTACCTCAATGAAATATTAAAATAATAAATGTTTTGCTCTTAATACATTTAGCTTAAAGTGGATGAGAATATATTATATATCTTTTATTAACATAGTCTTATCATGAATAAGTGTCTTGTTTTTCCTTAGAAGATTTGAAGTATTGTCATGGTACTAGTAAATGTATCCAATATTGTAATTTGTAAATCTTTTGATATTCAGAAAATTGTATGATCCATTTTTTCTCACCTGGTTTTTCTTTGTATTTTGAAATAATTGAAAGTGATGAGATAAATATATTATGTTTAGATTCTGGAAAGGAGAAGGTATGATGTCAGATGAGCCCCACTTTTTAAAACTCTTTAATTCGAAACTAGTAAATTAAGTAATCACCATATTTTTATGGAGATTGATAACAAAGTGGTAGTAATGACTGCTTCAAATCAGAACAAAAATGACCTCTCGAAGTCAAAGTGCATTAAAAAGGGGCATAAATCTTATTAGAATATGAAGATATTAAGTCACAATATTTTGTGCAAAAGCTGACCTGTGGAAGTCATTTTATGATAAATTAAAGTCTGACATAAACTGACCTGTACAAGTCATATTCTGTTGAGTGCAAGAAGGGAGACAACACTTACATCAAATTATATCTGACCTATGGAAGTCATTTTATTCTGACTTGTTTATGTCAGAGCTCTGACTGATAAGCTCAGTAGTCAGTACTTCGGTATTGACATGATTTATAACAAACTATCTAAAATTACCCGTTTATAAATTTTGAAATTACACAGAAACTAACATTTCAACTCCCTCAGCCAAATTTAACCTTATATGGATTTGGCTTTTTTTATGTTCTTTATAGTTATATAGCTCTTCAATTGTTTTGGTTCTTATACATCCTTGGCTTTCAAATAAACTGCTTTAAGCATTAAAAGTAAATGTTTAAATCAGTTAAGTCTAATCATACATGTTATATGATAAATTAAAAATCTAGCTCTCACAAGACAGGATCAAATGACAGTCAAATTCTTTCATCCATTAATAGTTCTAAATTGAAATTCAATAATAGTTTGCAGACAATATATGTACAAAGTATAACATTTGTCATGTATATGAACGTAAAAAAGTTATAGATCTGAATTCTTTTCTTGATATTAAATAGAGCTCAAACATAATATGTCTGGGTTTTTTTTTTTATTTAAACAGAAAATAGAACAGTTGTCAGATCCTTGGGCCTAAAATAAAATATTGTTTGTTTCCCCAATCCCGACCGACCCTGCAAAAATGGTCTGACTCACAAAATTTTATTGTCAAAAGTAAGTCAAATATTATTTTATTCATTTCTGATTTTCAGGCTTGCTGGATCAACCAATATTGTTCCAGCTTTTTGGAAAAATAAAATTATTTCCCTACCTACCTACCCACACCTGGCTTGGCAGGGTCAGGATTGGGGAAACAAACAGTATATTAATTTAGGCCTTGTAAGCAAGGCATGGACACACAATCAGTATTTCAATCAGATGTTAATGCATTGTATATAACAGGCTTACCTAAGAACTACCACTATAGGACTTTCACTCCCTGTGACTACCATTAGACCTTTCCATATCATCAAGGCTGAGGACACTATCATACCAAAATTCAAAACTTGATAGTACAGCTATAAAATATACATAGTTTTATCTATAGATGCAACAAATGTACAATTATAAAAAATAGTTTATTGTAGGGAATTAATCAGTTTACTTCATGTACTTGTATATGTAACATGTATAAAAATGAGAGTCAATATTATATATGTCAGTATATATACATGTGTATTGTAGGGAATTAATCAGTTTACTTCATGTACTTGTATATGTAACATGTATAAAAATGAGAGTCAATATTATATATGTCAGTATATATACATGTGTATTGTAGGGAATTAATCAGTTTACTTCATGTACTTGTATATGTAACATGTATAAAAATGAGTCAATATTATATATGTCAGTATATATACATGTGTATTGTAGGGAATTAATCAGTTTACTTCATGTACTTGTATATGTAACATGTATAAAAATGAGAGTCAATATTATATATGTCAGTATATATACATGTGTATTGTAGAGTCAATATTATATATGTCAGTATATATACATGTGTATTGTAGAGTCAATATTATATATGTCAGTATATATACATGTGTATTGTAGAGTCAATATTATATATGTTAGTATATATACATGTGTATTGTAGGGTCAATTTGTTTTCAAATGTTTTTTTACCATTGAACAATAAATCAACATCAAGGCTTGTTTTGGATGTGGGTTTTCTTCTGTTGCACTCATTGTAGGTCTGGATAACACAAACTGATTTTATTTAACTCTTTGGAACCATACATAAACATAACGCAGGACTATCTGACAATGCTCACACTATTATATCTCCATCTTAAGTTTACCCAGAATTTGAAGAAATCTAGATTTAAACCCTACAATGTAATTTGGCAAACATTTATAGTTTACTGTTCGGTGTGAGCCAAGGCTCCGTGTTGAAGACCGTACTGTGACCTATAATGGTTTACTTTTATAAATTTTGACTTGGATGGAGAGTTGTCTCATTGGCACTCATACCACATCTTCTTATATCTATGTATATTTTTCTTTAAACATAATTATGAACATGTGTACCGAGTTTCAAGTTGATGTGACCATAACTTCAAGGTAAAGTACTTTAGACCAAAATTTAACAAGTTTGTTCTGATCATGCTGATATACGTAACATGTAGGACAAATGGATGGAAAGTATAAGCCTCACAGTATCATAAACAGGCCGGGGGCATTCCAAATGACAATGACAAAATGGATTTGGTAGACCTTACTTTGATTCCATTCTTTTGTCATTTAAAATGCCTCCAAAAATATGTGGTCTATACCTAGGCTAACACTTTAAACTAAACATGTCTTAGACATTTCGTCACATGGGTACCGTCAGAGCAAATATTTTCGTCTGGAAGACTGTAATTTACAAAGTTGCAAAACCAACTGTCCCCAATAATAGTTAAGAAAATGTTTTCAAATAAAATAAATTTGTTGCATCCTCTAGTGACCCTGATCAGTGAATAGTTAAACTTCTAATCCTTACACCTTTGTAAACATTAAATGTGTTTTCTTAACGATTACCAAATACTATTGTTTGATATGGGTTTTCCATGTTATAATTCTTAAATAGGTGTTCATTAAATTATATTGATTAGATTATTGTGTTTAACTTAATTAGTACTTGTATGTAATGAACTATTAATTATGGTGTGTAATTCCTTGACCCAGATACTTATGTAGATGGTTTTTCGTCCGTTGAACAACAAACCACAGAATGTAAAATACGTATTTTTGTGTTTCCATGTTGTAGGTACATGTATATTCCCGAGCCAGTACTCGAGTATCGCTTGATAAAACCAACAAGTACTCGATTAGTAATTGTTCATCGAGTTGACATCTCTAAAAATAACCGAGGCGATGATGAAAATAACCCAAAAGTAACCTTTGAACTATATTGTTTATCTTATTGTATGGTCTGCTTCACATTTCTCTAGTCAGACACACGGCAGAAATTATATTTCAATAATATTTTAGTTAATATAAAAATAAGATGTGTTATGATTGCCAATAAGACAACTATCCACCAGAGTTCAAATGAAGTAAATGTTTGCAATTATAGGCAACTGGAGGGTGTTCAACAATGAGCCCATACCCTGTAGTCAGCCTAAAAAATGTGAAACAATTCAAATGATTTAAGCTGTTATGTGATTTAATAACATAATGATATAATATTAGGCTGCAGTGATAATCTAGTTTATATAATTAACTTATTAAAATCTAGTCTAATATCAAAATATCATGACAATTTCCATAATTTTATTTTTCAAATTATAATTTTTAGTACACATCATTGCACATGGTACACATGTACATGTAAATCCTTTTAGCATGTTTAGCATGTTTAGTGTCTGTAACTGTTCATGTCTAGTGCTATATCATGCTGTATCTGTAAAACAGTATGTCATTTTAATTTATTGTCAAAATACCTTACAACATGTTGAATTCAGCGGTGGATCCAAAAATTTTCATAAAGGGGGGCACTGACTGCCAAAGAGGGGGCCTGCTTCAGTCATGCTTCAGTGATTCCCTAAATAATCAACCAATTTTTCCCTACAAAAGGGGGATACGGGCCCCTGCCCTAACCTAAAGGCTAAATGCGACTCTGGGCTTGTTCTTTGTTTCATGTACAAAGCAAAACTGTTTATAGTAATTGTTACTGAAGTGACATTCAGTGGATAACAACAGACCATTTCCGAATGCAAAGATAGCACCGGTAAAAATGCAAAATTAATTCAAACAGAGAAAAATAAGAAAATGTAACGAGTTCTATACGTGTCAGAAAATGACATGTTTTGCCAGATGTTTTCTCTGCTTTACTTTCCACGATCATTTATTGGTGATTTAGATGCATGTAATGTTAACCTGTCTTTTGTTCATCCGCCGCACATCATCTAGAAAATCTGCCTCCATTAACCCGAACATTTTGAATTATCTAAATAATTCTTTCGGTTTTGTAAAACTGCCGGTTCTGTTTCCTTCCGATGATTCTAAATCTCGTACAGCTAAGCGTGATCTACTCCGAGATTTCAACTGGTTCCAAAAACCATAACTGTTTTTTGTAAATACCGAAAGGTTAGAGGAAACCAGAAAACAGAAATTTAAAAACAGTTGACGGACAAAGCATAGTGAATTATCCGAAAAAAAAGTATTTTTATTCCAAACAGAATAAGGTTTCCTCTGGAATGAAAAAAATGACTTTTTTGGTAAAACAAAATTATAATTGGTTGTTTTACATTTCAACAAACTTTGTACAGCAAGCTGTATATATGAAGTCTATTTTTCGTGAATGTCTCTTAACAAATTATATGTACAGTCTTGACTTAATTTTATTTTGTTTCAATTTAACAAAGCTATAGTATTTGCATGTAAGGGTGTTATATTTGTATGCTAAAACAATAGCTGGAAAAAGACTAAATTAAAGTTATGGTTTTATTTTCATTAATAACTAATGTTTCTTTATTGTATATGCTACTATATTAAAAGTGGCTAAGGGTTCACACAATTTTGAATCGTTTTTTAATTCTAAAAATAGCATTTATGGATAACATTATTTAATGTTAAACTTCCTGTATATAATATCATAAGCATAGTCATAATTATATTGTCGATCTCGCATTCGGGGGGATTTGTGATATATACAACACGATTGAAGCCACGGCCATATTTTATATTTATGATTCATTATTCTATTTGCAAGTTTTGGGATCCTCTCTTTCCCATGCATGAATTCAATATATTATCGAATTCAATATATTATCCTCTAGCATACGCATTCATGAGGGTCTGCATGGGGTCCTTCATTTTTTTATTCTTTAATTTTTTAAACCGTTTGTCTCTTATCCTTAATTTTCTGAACCATTTTTCTCTATTTTTTATTTATTTTGCCCATTATTCTCTTCTCTTTTTTTTTTTTGGGGGGGGGGGGGGGGGGGGGTATTTTTCTCTATTCTTTGGGCCCTTTCTTATGCACTTTTTTCTCATTGTTCTCTATTCTGTACACCTCATCCATATACCCTCATTCAAGTAAAATTATAGATACTATGACATAATCCTATGACTGCTACTCTCTCGACTGGGTTACTAATTCTTCCTATTACTTACAATGAAGCAAAAGTGAATTTAAAGTAGATGCAGCGGTTCTCATCACAGGTACATGATACAGATATTGTATTTGATGCAGCGGTTCTCATCACAGGTACAAGATACAGATATTGTATTTGATGTAGCGGTTCTCATCACAGGTCACATGATACAGATATTGTTTAATTTGATGCACGGTTCTCATCACATGTCACATGATACAGATATTGTATTTGATGCACGGTTCTCATCACATGTCACATGATACAGATATTGTATTTGATGCAGCGGTTCTCATCACAGGTCACATGATACAGATATTGTATTTGATGCAGCGGTTCCGAGTCATCACAGGTCACATGATACAGATCAGTATTGTATTTGATAACTGTTGCTAAAAATATTCAAATTGCTATGTTTATATACCACATATCTATTACTACTGCGCATATCTCGCCTAGTTTCATGTGAATTTACCATGCAACTCTGATACAACCCCTTATTTTACTACCCAAACTAAAAACAACATAGTAAAATAAGGGGTTGTATCAGCCAGAGTTGATAAATTCACTTTTCTTCATTGGCGAATGAAAATTTGAAAGTACTATCGTCAGTGAGTCACAACATATCTACCATGTCTACGACTTTATATTCGATGTCTCAGCATGATCTAGGTTTTATCTTCTTCTCAGGCCACATTCTGTTAAGTTTGCACCACAGTGTTGAATTTTCATCTCGTTTGTCATGTTAGTAGTGTCTTAATTGGCCTTAAAACATATTTTAAAAATGAAATAGTTTGATCTTATGATTTGTAAACATAATAAAGAAATGCTTAACCCATAATTAATTACGCTTTTGCGTTAAATCATTGTCTTTGGAAGTAATTTAATTTGGCATGGTTTAATTTTTGATGTTGAATAATTTTGTTATTTGCCGAATTTTATTTATATAGTTAAGGAATCAGAACCATTCTAAGTATGCGTTGCACTTTATTGAGAATTCAATTTCGAAAACAAACAATACATACAGCTTTGACTTCATTTGGGCTCTGATGGAAATTATCTCAGCGGCAATCATACCACATCTTCTTATTTTTTAAAGGATAAGTTTTAGTATATACGCCAAATTTTGATGGAACTGCATTTCAAAGAAGATCACTTTACAGTTTGTGACGTAATGATTTATTAAAAGAAATGTTCATGTATACTTTTTTTTATTATACTCATGCGTAAAAGTACAAATTAAATATGCTAAATACATCTTAGGAGTTAACAAAACTGCAACAAATTTGGGAGAATTGGGTATGATCCCATGTTCTGCTGGTGCTATCAAACTTTGTGTAGGTTACTGGCATCATGTAATCAATTCAAATCCAGATAGTTTTAATAAATAAGATTTATTCATCAAGTGTTAATAATAACTCAGACTGGTATAGAACAAAACTTAAATTGCTATTTGAAAAAGTTGGATTTAAACATGTCTGGGAAAATCCAAATTCATTTAGTAAAAATGGTTTAACTTTTGCTATATATCAAAAACTGAAAAATGATTTCATAAAATTTTGGGACCATTCCATTTCAAAAAGTGTTATTGATAAAAGAGGAAACAAATTAAGAATCTACAAGGATTTGAAGAAGAAATTTGATATGGAGAACTTTTTAAAATTATATATAGACATAGCTGATATTTCAAACTTTGTAAGAATAAGGATAAGCAATAATATCCTTATGATTGAAAAAAGGCAGACATAAAATGATTGATTTAGAAAACAGATTATGCCCCCAATGTAAATTTGAAGTTGAAGATGAATTACACTTTACCATAAAATGTACCAAACTCAATGATTTGAGGAATACATTTTTTTTCAGAATATTTCAGATATTTTACCATCTTTCAATAATCTTTCAATTAATTTTTGTTGTATATTATATAAATTGTATTACAGTATTCAAAACTGTACCTCCTGAGTCAAATAGATAGAAGGGGGAACAAATCGAAAAATTACAAGATTTTATATATATCTCTTTATATATATTTTTTTTATGTTATGTATTGTATGATTAATGTTTGTTCTTTGTTTGTGTGTTGATGACAATCCAGATTTTGGATTGTATATCAATAAAATCTTTGACTTTGACTTTGACTTTGCATGCATATATTTATTTTCAAATTGATATGACATTAAACAATCTCTATGCAAACGAGAGAGGTGTAAAAGAAATATAGGCCAGAAACGCATATGCTTCTGAATATATATTTAGCCATGCACTGATCAACAAGTGTGGTCTATGACGGGACATGTTATATAAGAGTCTGGATTGGGCTTACAGAATAGAGAATAACGGGTCAAATCTGTAGAAAAATGGGCCAAAAAATCAAAGAATAGACAAAAATTAGACAAGAATAGAGAATAATAGGGTGCTAAACTATAAAGAATTAGGAATAACAGGCAAAAAATATAAAGTTTATATTAAGATATCTTTAAATTAAGTAAGCTGTTTGTAATATTGAAGGATTTACATTCTTTTAAATATGCGGCCGTGGTAATATTTAAAAGCTTTTTTTTCGCATTTAAATAAATCATTTATTAATTGGAAAAATTTCGATTAAAATGTGAGTTCTTCTTTTTAATCATTTTGGTTAAAGGTAAAATCTAATGATGAAGATGGGACATTGTTTTCAAAGAATAAACTTGTAAACACTTAACGGGAACTTGGGGACAGAACAATTTTCTTTAGCCCTCCCCTTATTTCCAAAATCTGTTATTTTTGTTGTTTTCTATTAATTTCAATTATTTTTGCGTTTTTCTGTATTATATAAGAACACAAATATACTAGAAATAACTTGTATTTGCTATTTAATATCGATACCGAGTTTACTATCAACAGTGTTCACTGATATATCATATAGAGAGCTCGACTGTTTTGATGTCGTTTTAGTTTCGAAGTGTGACCAAACAAATCCTTGCAATAATAACATGGATAGAGTTTAACTGTAAGATGAGAATTGTCCGAAATCAAACGATCGGTCAACTCTTGCATACAATTGCTGCTGATATTGAGAGTCGCTATCTGGATATTGCCTCAATAAATCCGCGCAAAGGTTATCGTCCGACATGGCGGACAGAAAATCTATGGTTGTAACACATCATGTGCGGAAGGTTTACGAAGGATTTTATTTGATGAATGGTCAATGACTGGAAGTAATTATAATAAACTACACAATTATTTAACGGGGCATTAAGTGTTACCCTTGACCGTCCTTCTGTCCGTATTTCCGTCCTTCCGTCTGTCCGTCCCATTTTTTTCCCCGCACTCTAACTTAAGTTCTCCTCATCCAAATCTTATGGAAATCATACACAATTCCAAGTACCATAACACACAGACAGATCGAGTTTAAATTTTGGCAGTAGGTCATCAACGTTCTAGAGTTATGCCCCTTTATAATTTGGAAAATTGATTTTTTTTCAGTTTCCGCACACTAACTTAAGTTTGTCTCATCCAATAAATGTTTCGAATCGGTCACGATTTACATATAATATGGCTTTATCTAGGAATGATTCCATGAAAGTTTCACTGATAAAGGTCATTCTGTTATGAACAGTTACTGTATACAAGGTGTCCACCTCTGTTGTTAAGAGGGCAAAGTTCCATATTTTCTATGGGAAAAACCAAAAAATCATATGGGTAAAAAAATAAAATAGGAGATGTAAAGTGCAAAGTACATATGTTAATGTTTTATTTGAATCAAGTATATCGCTTAGGTGGAGTTGCGCCTACGAAAATACTTGTTAGTATACAATCATAAAATAGTAGTCCGCAGTAACAAAGCAATATATCCAAACTCTGGATCCGCCAATATGCATAAATTTGAATAATATTGACATACATCATTGTATACATGTTATACTTTGACGAATTTAAATATATTTTCAAGTTT